TACTTAACAATAGACATCTACATTCTCTGCACTAAGGGACTGTAAAGTATTCCTTCCCAGAAATGAATGGTTCTCTTCATTAATATCACATAAGAGGTATTGATAAATGTTCACCAATTAAATTTGCTATACAGGTTGGACTTGGGTATACTCATATTCCGTCCACTGAGCTAAAATATCAGATAGCATTAGACACTGTGTATTATTATTGTTAAAAAGAACTTGCAGTTGCTGGACTAGGCACTTAATAAAGCTCTATTTATTGTTTATGTACAAAGATGGCTTTGTAGAGCACCTGCCCTCCTGAAGCCCACAATAGATTAATGTATAAGCATATTGCTGCGATGAAGGGCAGTAAGTTCTATGACATATTGATAAGGTCTACTGATGGCATAATTCAAACCACAGTTATGTCACAGCTGGTTCTGTGATCAGAATTTGCTGTATTCTCAAATCTGTTTTCTCATTTATAAAACAGGGATAATAACAACTTCTTAGCAGATACACATGTATGAACATACACATTGTTCCACAATTAGAAGCACATGCTTTAACTATCATTTACCTTTTCACCCAAAATATATATTATGAAAATCATTCCATTTTAGCATATCTAAAGCTATCCCTCATTCTTTAATATAGCCTGGAATATCACAGGGCTAACTACAAAGTAAATGTTCAATGAGTATTTGAGTAAAAATAAATCACTGAGCTGTTTACAAATAATTAAAACATCTAAAATAATGTCTGGCCTTTATTCCATTATATGAATATACCATATTTTTACCAATTTTAACTATATTTCAATGGTTTCCAATCCCTTGCTATTATACACAAACTATAATGAATAATTACTTTTTACATTTGCATGTTTATCTATAGTACAATTTCTAGAAGTAAACTTTGTCAATTTGGGATTTTAATTTTGCCTTAAAGTGATTTTAACAATTTACACTCTCATATGTAATATATGAGGTAACAAGAATCTTATTTTTCTATGGTACATGGCTAATTACTAAATCTGAAAATAGAGGGTTCTAAGATACTTCCAATTACTCACCTCAGAACATCTTGACAGGACCTGCTGAGAAGAACCTGTTCACCACAAGGACCCCTCTCCCTTTACCCCAGCCATTTGATAATAAAAGGATTGAAAACAGTCATCACTTTGGGCATTAGCAAATGGGCATTCTTTGCTCCAGTGGAAAAGGTGAAGGGAAGAAAACTCCAGGAGAAATACTCCTAAACTCTGGAAGTGCCGGCAAGATGGCATTTCATTTTTGAATTGGTTGCCTCGTTGGCAGATAACATGACCCGAGCTTGGCCAAGTGGGGAGCAGCTAGCCACAGAGTGTACCAGGACAACCTCCTTCGATCTATGGTTGCTAAGAAGTATGGAGGATGGTTCCTGAATGGGTTTGAAGTTCCAGGGCTGTGGACAAGGGAGGAAAGATTGATTATGGCTATGGTCTTATTATGGCTATGGTCTTGTCAGGGATTGTCACAGATGGAGCAAGGAGGCAGGCTCCTGAGAGGCATGTGGCATGCCAGTGCCAGGTGAGGTGTAGCTGGAATAAGTCTTGGCATCTGTCAATGCCCCCGAGGAGCTATTGGGAAATGAGTCTCGCACCAGCCAGCTCTTTCTAGCTTCTATTTCCCCAAAGACAATGGAGTTGAATAACCCTAACACTACTCAAATAGACAATGCCCCCTAAGTGAATAATGACCACTAATGTTCACCACTGAAGCTTAAATAATGAGTCATGTCTCTTTCCTCTCTCTCCTTCCTTCTCACACACCAGGGAAACTCCAACGAAGAGAAAGAGGGAAGGTACGCATGAGAGAAGCCCACACCTTTCTCCTCCTGCTCCTAGAGTCACCATTTTACCTGCTCGTAGAGAGAGAAGGGAGCTTTGAATCCAGTAAGTGATTACTGCTTTAAGGTGAACAGGACAAGGTCTTAAAACCTGAATAACTTTCTAACAGTGCAAGTCACTAATATGGTATGGACCTGGGCTGTGATATCAGCAAGGGAGGCATGGAGGCAGTAGAAAGTGTGTTCCTCATCAGGTGAGAGTCTCTCCTGGTTCCAGTAGCTTCTTCCTCCCTTTGTCACTATTGTTTAAGGAAGGTTGGTTTACTATTCTGTCTTTTTTATAGCCTGCCCATACTTTTGTATGTAGTCTCTTTATTAAATCTTTGTCAAATAATCTTAATTTGGATGTGCCGTTTGATTTTTACTGGGGCACTGGTTTATTGAGTTAACATCTTCAATTTGTTCATAACTTGGAGATGCTTTTGGTATCTTCCAATTGTTCATAACTTGGAGATGCTTTTGGTATCTTCCAATTCTCTTAGGTTTTGTGGAACAATGAACCAATGTTGGGGGTGGGGAGGGCAGGGCTTACAATGTAGACACTCACTACTTCTCAACTTTTATCATTATAGACTTCACAAAGGAGAAAACGCTGAAGAAGGCCATCGAAGGCGGAATTAGAGTTCATCTTTTAAACAAAAGAAGCAGAGGAAATGGCATGGACACACGTGGATACATAAAACAGGGTGGCATGTCCTGGAAACTACAAGTAGTTCAGTGTGGATGGAGCACAGATGAGGGAGTAGCAAGAAGAAATGTTAGAGAAGATGGTGGTACCTTGAATACCATTTCAAAGTCTTTAGACATTATCCTACAGGTCCTGAGAAGTCTCTTAAGTTTTTGGCCCTGAGTGGCATAGTCAGCTTTACCGTTAGAAAAAATGCATGCCATTTGTGTAAAAGACACATCACTCTCATCACTCCATTCTCTCCCTCAGAGCATCACTCTCATCACTCCATTCTCTCCCTCAGAGCATCATACTTATATCTAATTATACCATGAATCAAGTCCTAAAAACCAGCCCTTCACTAGGATGCTTCTGATTACCTTTTACTTTATCTGTGATGCTGGTCTTTTCTGCTATCTTTAGCCTGATTCTTTAAAACTTTCTTCATGTTTTCATCAAGACAAACAACATGTTTGGAACATCCTTCATCCATTATCCTATGAAGCCCTGTCCAAATAACTCTATTTATAGAATTTTTTTAATGGAAGTATTTTATAGTAATCTATAATTAGATTCTTGATTTTCTCAACACTGTAACATAGTATGAAAACTCTGGGCAATGGAGTCAGTCTACTCTGATTATGAATATCATCTCAGCCACTCATTAAAACACCATGAACTTTCATTTCCTTATTTTTATAAGCACCTACCTGGCAGCATTGTGGTGAAGCTAAAAAGAGATAATTTTTTAAAATGCAGACTATTTTGTACCTTGCTATATAATAGCTGTTATAGCCCATATATAACAGCAATCTAGTAAATGGATCCAAGTTTATGATGATAATAATTCAATTTTTAATAAGAGAATGTTTTGAAGTTATTAAATCCCTTGAAGATTCATGCATAATGCCTACATATAAAAATTATGAAAAAAATCTATGGATGTTCTGGTTATCCAGCTCAAAGACACAAGACAATGACTGGAGTTGTTCCCAACAGCTTTGGATTTCCTGCTTTCTTACCTGAGACTTTCTGGGTTGAGTAGAATTTTGATGGCAGATGTTTAGAATCTTCATATGTTTAATATGGAAAACTCCTCCCCTCTACTATGTAAAGCCTTTCGTGAAGCATGAATCTGGTGAAATGTGTTTTCTTGGTTAATAAAGGTTTCTTATTTGTTTCACTCTTATTGAAATCTATTGAAATCAGAGCTAATGAGAAAGGCCTCTCAGCATCCCTGAAAATGCATCCAGGTTGCATATCTGTCTGTGTTGTTTTACTAAGGATCAGAACCTGCTCAGTCCTGGGTTTGTGGTTAAAACTTTAATGGCTGTTCTTATATGTATTACTGTGTGACCTAATGTAGTAATAGCTAGTTTCTGCTAGAGTGAACATCAAGAAATAATGGTCAGGCCAGTTAGTGATATAATATACAGTAATACCTTGGTTTGCGAGTATAATTCATTCCAGAAACAAACTATTCATATTGCAAGACATCGCTTGTTTACCAAGTTAAAATGTATTAGAAATGTTCGCTCATCTTGCGCAATGCTTGCAAACCAAGTTGCTCGTATTCCAAGGTTTTACTGTATTTGTAAATGAGAAGAGCTTTCCATCAAAGCACTCACCAGGAGGTGCCATTTCTTCATCTGAATTTCTGATCACCAAGGTAATTTAAAAGCTTTAATTGCGTTGTTATAGACTTTGAGAGATTTCTATGGTAGAAAATATAAAATTCTAATTAGGAAAATATGTGAGCTTCTGTTTGGTGCCTTTAGTTATGAAAGGAAAATCTTACACTGTTTTAAAACAAATAACAGCTAAAGTAATGTGGCTAAAACCTTTTAAAAGGTGCTCTTTAAATGCATAGAGGTAAGTTTTCCCCCTTTCCAAAGTGCTTTTCTGTAGTCTTCCACTTACGTATATTCTGTGTGTTTGTGTCATTTAAAGAGACTTGGACAGTTGCATTAGGAAGGAAAAAAAACATTAAAAATTGTACTTATGTACTCAGTGCTTGAACACTTTTGGGAAACCTCCTGGGTGGAAACATTTACTAGGCTCTCAAAATGCACATTTCTTTTTCTAAGACAAAATGTGAAATTTACTGCTCAATCAAGTCAAACATAGTCTTGGGAACTGACTGCTTAATGTGGCACAACCCTAAAAGAGTGCAATTAGCAACATAATAGAGTAGAATCAACTGGTTTAAAAGGGTTTATCATTATTGCAATTATTGCTTAATCGTCATGTTATTCATGATTGTTTCTTTAGAACTCCAAGTTTGTGCTTTCACGGGCATTTAACACAGCGTCCACATTATGCCTTGTTTTGTAGTTAATTATGCAGAATTTTTCTTCCTAACTACATTTCCTAATGGCAGGAAATCTCGATTAATATTAATAACCCATACTTATCTCTAATTCATACAATAAACTTGTAATATTCTTTTGATATATAGTAAAAGACCAATTTATAGTTAGCCATTGATTACATATGCAAGCAGCCCTCACATGGTGTTGATAATAGCAGATCCAGCTTCCACAGTTTAGTTCAATTACACCCGTCTCCCAACAACACATTCAAATTTCAGTTATCATGATACATTAAATATGTATCATTGCATAAAGCAAAAACTTTGCTGCTAGTTTTTTAGTCCACAAATCACTATGTAAATAACAGGTATGTATCATCAGTGACCAATTAGATAACTTCTTTCAAAGTCTGTTGGGGATTGGTCACTGTGTCCCTGTTAGTTCATACACAATAAAGGAAGGAAGGGCCACAGTGAGATCGGCAGGAGAGGCAGACACACTCTCACCCAAAACCCCACCCCTGGCACAGCCACTCACAATGGGGAGGGATCTAAGAACAAACAAACAAAAAAACCCCTGAGCTTCTTTACTGAGGAGCAAGGGGTTTGTGTTCCACATCAGTCACCTCAACCCTTGGACCTGCACAGGAGAGACAGCAGTCCCCAAAATGTCTGACTCTGAAAGCCAACCAGGCTTACATCCAGGAGAACCACAGGGCTATAAGAAAAAGGTATTCTGCTCTTAAAGGTCTTACACATAGACTCAGCCTACGACCCAGAAGCAAAAGTTTGAAAAGAGCCTAAGTCATATGTGAAAGATTCATTTGCTTACCTTACAGCTTCTGCCAGATGGGCAGAAATCTCTTAAGACTCTTTCCAGGGATGTAAGTGCTGGTTGGGGCCATGTCTATATTCTCTTTCTGCACTGCTAGCACCGGCACTGATGGGTGCCATTTTTGCACTCTAACATGCTAGTGGAGGCAGGTGAGCAGCCCCACTCCCATGAGGACCCCCTCCTGAGGCAGTAGGTGAGCAGACCCACCTGGCCTGCTCCTGCAGCCCCACCAAAGCCAGCATGTATTCACAGCCCACACAAGGAACAGCCTTGAATGCCAGGCTCTGGTGCCGGGGTGAATTACATGTCCAGGTTGCACAACTCTGAAATAGAGTATTCGAGAGACAACCAAGAAGTAGGGCAAACTTAAGTGATAAGTTTTATCTCCTGCACAGGGTCACTCCTTCAAACCTGGGACAGAGAACTATTTTGCCTAATACATAGAAACAATCATAGAAAGTCAAGCAAAATAAGAGAAAAAGACATATGTTTCAAATTAAAACAAAAAAAAATTAAGCCACCGGAAAAAAATACCTTGTGAAATAGAGATACGTAATTTATCCAATAAAGAGTAGTAAAAGTAATGGTCATAAAGATGCTCACCAAACTCAGGAGAAGAAGGGATGAACGCAGTGAGAACTTCAACTTCTTCAAAGAGAAGACAAGGTCCAAGATGGCAGCAGAACAGGAGGATGCTGAACTGCCCCTCCCAAGAGCAAAATCAAATATACTTGTATATAGGTAGCAATTATTCCTATGAGACAACTGAGCATTGAATGAACAGCTTCTGGCAACAAACAGGAGAAAGAGACCAAACAGAGAAGGCCGGGGGCTGAGGGAACCCTCGGGGAGATGTGGGAACTCTCCAGGACCAGAGGAGCCAGGAAGTGCCGTTGTTTATGTCCCCCTCCACTTTCAAGGGCAGGTGAGAGCTCTCTCTCTGGGGGCTTTGGCCCACCTGCTAGATCCCAGCACATTGCCTGGAATCCGTTTGCCTCTGAACAAAGGGAGCAAGCAGGAACAACAGGGTGTCACCACCCACCTGGCCACCTCGGTGAGAGCTGCTTTGGGTGGGTAGGCAGGCTAGTGCCCCAGGTGCCAGAAGTACCTGCTCAGCTACAAGTGGGGGTTGAATAAACAAGGAAGTGGCTTGACGTAACCCCCTTTTCTACTCATATCTTATTGTGCTTTCCTCCTGTTCTTTGCTTATTATCTCAATATAATTAAGTATATATTTGAAGGAATTCCTGGTAATAACAATAATGGCTACAATTTTTGACCACTTACGTGTGCCAGGCATTGTGCTAAGTGCTTTATGTATAAGACAAAGGTAATGTGTGCATTTAACAGATGGTGAAACTGAGGCCCAGAAGTTAGCTACCTGTCAACATCAGTAAATGGAAAATTGAATATTTGACCTCAGATCTTCGACTTGTAAAATACAGTATATACCCTGCTGTAATGCTCACTGAATAGCTTCTCTTGTATTCTACCCCCACCACCACCTTTTTAACATCAAAGAGGAAAAAGAAAACTGTCTTAGTGTTTTTTTTTATGACATAAAATCTTGCTGAACTAAAAGACAGAAGAGGATGTAAAATCGAAAATGAAGACCATACTATATAGACAGATAGCATCTAGGTATTAAGGATAAAATTTTAAGGTTATGGATAAAATGTAGCTTGAATTTGCAATATTTTATATTAAACTGAACAATAATTTACATATTAAACCCCACAGTAATCATTTGAATATATATTATAATTGGTTTTGCATTCTGGGACTTTATGGTTTTGCAGCTCTCTTTGCTTCATCCTTAAATTTACTACTGATTAAAACATCTTATATTGCTACTTTATATCAGCAAGTTTCCATGGCTATAGCATGCTGAATACTGTTGCTGCAAAAATTCATTGCTGATAAGAGGATTTGAGATAAGTGTCAAATCTTTGAAGTAAGTCACTATGCTAGTTGGGTACCCTTTTAGAATTGTTTGGAAAGTGTTTAGTTATCATATCTTGAAATATTTTAGGATTGAAAATATAGTTTTTAGAGTTAAAGAATGTTAGACGGTGCCATTAGAACATGAGCTCACCCTTCTCCATTCCTTGATCAAAGAATCAAGTTTGTGCTCTGCTTTACAGGAAAAAAGATTTTTTAATAAGTGTTGGAACTTGGAGACTATTAGATCCAATCTCTCTGTTTTAGAAATAAGGAAGTTGAGGCTCAGAGTCTTGAACAAGTTTCCATGGCTGGGCAGTAGCAGTGGCGGGTCTTTTTATTTTTAGTTAAGGTCTCTTTCCACTGACCAACTATTGGGTTGTCAGAAAAGTCATGACGTATTTTTTCTATGTTTTTCATTGCAAAAATGCATCACG